GGTAAAACGGGGGGGGGGGAGGGAGGGGCAGAGGGTTGGGCTATTTATAATTCTTAATAGTCTAAAAATATAATTTATCAATTATTAGGAGTGGATGCTATTTTAATAAGGGGTAGGCCGAAAAAGTGCAAAAAATAGACGTTGTCCAACGATCATTTTTGAATTTGACCGTTGGTAATGGTCAAAATTAAAAAAAACCAACGGTAACTTGGACGGAGCTAGAACCCGATAAAACCCCTACCCTAGCAAACCCGTCCTACCCCTTACCGGACCAGGCTGACCCGAGCTAAACCGGGTCGAACCAAGTTGTTAGTGGGCTGACCCGGCCTGTTTAACACCTTTACTTTGAACCACTTGAATTATTTTTCTTCACCATTTTTCAAAGATGTTCATCTGCAAAAGCCGAATCAAAGAGGAACTAAGAGAGAAATATTTATACATAGGTAAAATAAAGAAGAATAAAACCTAAAATGGGTAAGATTGAAGTCTAATATATTATTTTATATATTAGTAGTAAATTGTATATGCTAATGTAATCAAGTAATAACCTTTTTATATAGGATAGATAAGTTTATAATATAGTATGAATAGGTTAAAATTCCTTATTTTTGACTTTTTTTATTTTTTCGACGGAAAAAGGAGTTATCGGTCACATTAAAAAGATGAAAAAATATTAAGGGTATTATTTCTTGATCATTAAAGACTAAGGGCTCATTAAGTACGAGGGATAATGAATAATTAATCCCAAGACTAAATTTAAGAAGAGTATATCCAATGTTTGGTTGAGAGAAAATTGTGTTATAATTAATCCTGGAATTAATTATCCCCGGACTGTAGTATTTTTTATCCCTATGAAAAGATGAAATAATTAATCCCGGAATAATTAATCTCGAAATAATTATTCCAGAGATAACATCTTTTCAACCAAATGACCCTGTGCATTATTAATACCTTGATTGGTACATTTTTTCAACCTGTGTATAACTATTAATATCGTACTTGGTATTATCCTATGCATAATACATGCATTAGTATGGTTAAAGACAAAATTGTCCTTAAAGTCCCTTAAAGCTAAAGAATATGGAGGGCATTTTTGTAAATAACTATTTTTCTTAAAAATTATGCAATGCATTATAATTTTAATACACCACACCAAACCGTAGGTAAAAAATAATATCTGAATCCATGCATTAGTAATCCACCATTACTACCAAACCCTAAGAGTTAAAGCCAAATTTACTTTTGTATTTGCTAATGTTACATAGTAAAAATAATTCGAATCCACTCAGTTGTAAAATAACAGACCTCTCTGTCTTTACTATTGAAACCATACCTATTCCTGATTGGCAACCCGGTAAGATCTTCATTGATTTCATGGTCTCCTCTTCCATGATTGTTAAATAATTTTCCTTCTCATTTAATGTGCTTTTTTAGCTATTGTTAATCTATTTTTCCTTTGTATCAATTGGTAATTGTTCGACTCAGTATTCTGCGAATCACCCAGTTTTATATTCTTCTCTTCAATATTGATTTCCTTCTTTTTTGAGTTTTGAAAAAAGGGAATCGCGAAAAAAAAAGTTATATGGGAAAACATTAATCAATTAGCAGCTGCTAAAACTGAGTCACTTCTTTTGGGCGAATGGTTGCGGAGTTTTTGGATATTTGACATTAATATTCTCGTGCGGTTGGGAAGGGTTGGTTGGTATGGAGATATTTGATCAAAATCACCCCATAAATTTTGGTTTAGTGGACAACTATTAGACAAATATGATTTATTTAGCATAATTTTTTCAAGAACTCATCAATCAGAACTGCTGCTGCTCTCTAGTTCGGGAGTTGATTCAGGAGATTGATGAATACTGGATAAAGGTTACAATTTTGCATTAATTTGCCACATTTTGTGTTCGACTATTGAGTTGTGGAGTACCTATTTAAGGAATTAAAGTCTTTACAAGAGTTTTGACCTTTGGGAGCTTTAAATAGTTGGTCCCAAACCCAATGGCCGGCTTAAAAAGAAGTCATGGCATGATGAGTCCTCTAACACAGACAAATATTTTTGAATTGGAATGAAATAGGGCCGAATAGAGTGGCAAGGATGTAAATGATTCATGTAGCCAATAAGTTTGGGATTGAAGTGTAATTGGTTCACAAGAGTTTGATCTCATGGCCTTCAAGCCCAACATCTTGGTGAGATGTGCATTGTGAACACAATTTCAGATTGTTAATACCATATACTTATAGAACCATTCCTGCAAAGATATTAAATGAAAATGGTATTAGGCAAGTTTACACGGTTATGGTGTTTAGCGTGGTTCTGAGCTCATTCATTACATTTCAGCTGCTCTCTTGTTTAAAAGTTGAACCTGTAGTTTTGTGGGTACTGATAAGGTTGAGTTACATTAATCCCTCTGCCGGAAAAGTTAATGTGCCATCTTGTGCTCAACTTTTAAGTTGTATCTCTGTTTGTCAATTGCAACTGGTAACTAAATAAAACTTCACGTCATGAATTCTTACTTATAAAGCCTTTTTAAGAAGTATATCTAACAGAATTGTTATTTGGAATTAGGTTCCGAATTTCTATACATTTTGGAACATAAATAATATGACCTTTACTAAATGATGTAGTGCAACTTGAATGGTGATTGTTCATAGATCAAAATGGAGATGTTTTAGTTTTTTTCCCTAAAGTGCCAATGTAAGATTGTAGGTTTTACAATGCAGGAATTTCTAGTCTAAAGTGTTTGAGCTGTCATCAGAAGAGGGTATTGGAATTTGCAACACTTCGGTCTAATTTTTTTCAAGCGTGTCTTGATTTTCTTCTGTATTCATGTACAGTTACTGATTTATTAGTAACGACTGATATGCTAAATATTCCAGAACCCCTAAATTTTCTGAAAGTTCAAGCTTTTTCAAGGAAGAAAACAAGAAATGGATCAAGCTCTGGATTCATATAGGGGGCAAATTGAAGCTCTAATGCGTGCAATGTCCGTAGCAAAAATCATAAGAGACGATAAGGATCCTTGTATGATTGAAGAGGTACTAAACCATGAATATTAGCCCTTCTTTTTTTTTTTTTTACGTATCCTTATTAGTTTCCTTGTACTTCTTAGGGTCTCTATTTAGGGTCCTTTGGAGCTGCCAACAATAAAGATGCACTCAAAAGCTTGAATATAACTCATATTTTGACGATTGCCAGAGATTTAAATCCGTCTTATCCAAATGAGTTTGTGTACAAAGTCCTTACTGGTAGGAAGTCTCTAACTTTGTTTGATATAGCTGACTTGCTTTGGATATATCTTGAATATATGCACGTGATGAGAAAATCTGCATCTCCTTTTTATATAAGTCAATGACTAATGCGCTATCCATCTCTTACTTGGTCTGTTATGTAAAAATATTCAGCAACCACTACAACAACAACAACATACCCAATATTATCCCTATGGGGTCTGGGGAGGGTAGTGTGTACGCACACCTAACCCCTACCTTGTGAGGATAGAGAGGTTGTTTCCAATAGAGCCTCGGCTCAGGAAAGCATAAGCACCACATTAATGAAAATATAGGCAAGACTGGACAGTATCAAAATCCATATAAAGGCAAAATAAAGACAACAAGATAGTAAGGTGATCAACAATGAAAGAAAACAACGGTTAGTCTTAAAAACCTAATAGCAATAGAAAGCGAGATTGCGTGCCAATACTACTGTTATGAACACTCTAGACAAACTACTCTACTACCCTAATACTCGACCTCTATACCTTCCTATCAAGGGTCGTGTCCTCGGTCAGCTGAAGCTGCGCCATGTCTTGCCTAATCACCTTTCTCCACCTCTTCTTTGGCCTACCTCTACCTCTCCGTAGGCCCTCTAGTGTCAGCAACCAGTATACTAAGAAATTAGAAAACAGGAAATACCATACCACACCCTCAGTTGTCCACACTAGTGTTGCTGCTATACTGAGTTTTCCTTCCTGTTACCTGTCTTTTGTTTTTGTTTGTAGTGGTCCTACATACAACAACAACAACAACAACATACCCACTGAGATCCCACATGTAGGGTTTGGGGAGGGTGGGGTCTATGCAAACCTTACCCTTAGCTTGTGTGAGGTAGAGAGGCTGTCTCCAATAGACCCTCAGCGCAAGAAAAGCATTTTCAGAAAAGGTTTGGAAAATACAAGAGTAAAAAGTTATGATGAAAATACCGAAGAAAAGAGAAGTATTGAGTATTGACAACAAAAATAGTAAAGATAATCAAAAGTAAAAGAAACATGATATAGTGGACTTAAGACATCGAGAAGGCTTCTTTTTGTTGTGCACATCCAAAAAGCCTATCATCTACCCACTAATGACCTATTGGCATATCCTTTTTGACTATTTGAAAACGGTACTCGCGGTACACCTGTTTCGTTACTACAGTTTACATCATGAAAAATTATCAAAGTCCAATTGTACTTTCAACATTTCATGGCTAATACTTATTCATTTAAAAAATTACACAAAATAGTGCTGCTGACGCAGAACGCAATTCATTAAGATTTTGATGCTTGTTTAGAAATTTCAAAATATTACATCACCGCTTAACAGTTAGAGCAATGAGAAAACGAGTTCAGAATTAAGAATTAGTTGATTCAGGGTGAGCGTGATCAATATATATATATTTCTTGCGCCTCAACNATGAAAGAAAACAACGGTTTAGCTTTAAAAAACCATAGCAATAGAAAGCGAGATTGCGTGCCAATACTACTGTTATGAACACTCTAGACAAACTACTCTACTACCCTAATACTCGACCTCTATACCTTCCTATCAAGGGTCGTGTCCTCGGTCAGCTGAAGCTGCGCCATGTCTTGCCTAATCACCTTTCTCCACCTCTTCTTTGGCCTACCTCTACCTCTCCGTAGGCCCTCTAGTGTCAGCAACCAGTATACTAAGAAATTAGAAAACAGGAAATACCATACCACACCCTCAGTTGTCCACACTAGTGTTGCTGCTATACTGAGTTTTCCTTCCTGTTACCTGTCTTTTGTTTTTGTTTGTAGTGGTCCTACATACAACAACAACAACAACAACATACCCACTGAGATCCCACATGTAGGGTTTGGGGAGGGTGGGGTCTATGCAAACCTTACCCTTAGCTTGTGTGAGGTAGAGAGGCTGTCTCCAATAGACCCTCAGCGCAAGAAAAGCATTTTCAGAAAAGGTTTGGAAAATACAAGAGTAAAAAGTTATGATGAAAATACCGAAGAAAAGAGAAGTATTGAGTATTGACAACAAAAATAGTAAAGATAATCAAAGTAAAAGAAACAACAATAGTAATAAATTGAAGAATGAAATAATAACTCATGAATAATAATGATACGTAGTGGTCCTACATAACGAGTAAGAAAAGATTTCTGCTTAACTATCTAATTTGGAGACGCATAGAACTCTTGTATAGCAACATAAAGTACAACTTTTCCTACCAGAGCCTTTTTGGGACTGTCTTTTTACCTCTCATACCAACTGCAGTGTAAAATTTCTTCCTTATGATAATGCCTAGTTATAATTTTTATCCTTCACCTTCATTTATCTACCTAGGACAATCCAATTTACCTTATCAAAAAAAAAAAAATTATATAACTTCTTAATTCAGTAAAGATAAACTGAGGCCTTCTGCCTCCATGTTTTCTCAAAATATTCTTTTTTAATGAGATTGATGAATGATTTATTTGTATTTTCAACTTTTTGCAAATTTGAGACAGTTCACGACAGAGTTGATGTAAATATTTCACATTACGTTGAGGAATGCTTCGATTTCATAGAAAAAGCAAAAGGAAAAATTGAAGAAGCAAAAGGACAGGGTGGCGGTGTGTTGGTGCATTGCTTTGCAGGCAAATCCAGAAGGTGATTTCGAGCATCTTTGCCTGGATCAAAATCATGGTTTTGTATGTGGGAAAACAATACAAAAGAGTTGTGTGTAAAACTATATTGGCTCTTAATAAATTTGTACAAGATTTTAAGCCAAAGTAGCTGCTCTCCAGCTTGCTTTGCTACATATAACTAAAAGAAAATTTCATGACTAATCCTAGTATGTCAAGAATAGAAACCTTGATATTCCATCTTCAGCTTGATACTGTAACTAATGTAGTATTATGGAGCTAGCTTCCAACCTCATCTTTCCGTAGATATTTGTATTTTTATTTTTTGTTGCTTTGAGAAGGGGGTGGGTTGGACGACATTTATCCTGGGTCAGCAAAGTGCCTATGATGCTTTTTTTCTTCTTTTTTTTGACATATGCATTCACTCTGAAGACGAAAATCTTTAACCTGGATATGCAAGTTTCTCCATGTTACTTGCGTCTTTCATGTTCTGCTTTGCAAAACTAATGTACAGGTGTAATTTTTCCAAGTTAAAACGTTGAAAGAATGACGTGTTATCGTCAATATCTTAATGATACGCTCATTTATGTTTCTTTTGATGGATTTTGGAAGGGTATCTGTGTAGCGTTGTTTCTTTGTTGTAGGTGAGACACTCCGGTTACTTTATCATCTGATCTCTATGAAATCCCTCGTAGCAATAGTAATTTTATCATCATGTCATGCAATACCTTTAGCTTGACTTCTTTATTACAAGTACAAACCAAAAAGGCTTATGTGGTTTTCTTGTTATGAATTTGATTACTGGGTATGAAACCTTTTTACCCGTATGTCTTCCTATTCATTTTCAGCAATCTGCTTCTTGCCCTCTTTTAGTTGATTTTATGTGGTCTGGATCTTGGGTTGGCTTCAGTAAATTGTTTGTCTTTTTAAGACTTGAATCAGCTAGCTTTTTTGTAGTATAACATTTATGTCATTATTAAACTTACCTATTTCCTTCTTATAATATACCATACCCTTTAATCGATATTTCATGAACACCAGTGAAAATGGAAACAAGAAAGAACTTTCTAGAACTTAAAATTTGTCTTGTTTGCTTTTCCTGGTGTTCCTTTTTCTATAGTGAGATCACTTTTTTCTTCAGTATATGTATTTAATTGTCCAATATTTTGTCAAGTAGTAACAATTGACAGCTGTTTCTCCGTTCTGATTATCAACAATGTGAAGTGGTGAAAAGAGAAAGTCTCGTATGATTTCTTTTGTTCTATGCTTTTGCAGTGCAACCATAGTCATCGCTTATCTGATGAAAAAGCATGGTATGAGCCTGTCTGAAGCTTTTCAGCTTGTTAAGAGTAAAAGACCAGTTATTTCTCCCAATGCTGGTTTTATGATTCAGCTGCAAAATTATGATAAAACCCTTAAAGGTACAGCTTTTTGTTCATTTGGTGGTCTTACTCGCATGATCTAAGGTTAACGAGTTTTAGTTATCTCAGTATTGTGATGCCATTGTCATGTTGCATCTGTGATGATTGGTGATAAAATGAGGATTAGCTATGGTTTTTTGAGAATGGTAACATGTATATATATGTCAAAGGAAGAAGGATTAGCTATGTTACTTCTGAGTTATGTTAAATTGTCATTTATATAGTTGTGAACTGAAATCAAAATACAGCCGGCAGATTTATTAAAACCACAGAAAGAAAAAGAAACAAAGTACAGCCGGCAGTTCCCTAGATTGTACAGTAACTGTGGATATGCAGTAGGACTGAATTGACCAGCTGCAGTCTGGATCCCCAGCCTTGCACTCTTGTTGTAAGCTTATCAATTAGCATCTCACAATCAAGTATAAAGATCTTCGTTGATGATATTTGTATACCAAGATCCTAGGTAGTGATATTTTTTGGTACCCTGTCAGTTCACAGAAGTCTGCCACACAGTGAGGCTCAGACCATATGCATTTGAAAAAGGTCCCCTGCATTTGGTTTGATACCCAAATCCTTCCTGGCTTGCTACCATGTTCATTATCCTTGTGAAGTATTCCATGCATATTACAAACAACAAAGGAGAAATTGGATTACCCTGTCTTAGATCCCTCTTCTTTTTAATGCAAACCATACAATCCACCATTTAAAGATATGGTGTACTGTATAGTTGAGATACATGTCATAGTCCATTTGATAAATTTCATGGGGAAATTAAGTGCATGCAACATTTCCTCCACAAATCCCCGTTCAACTGAGTCATAGGAAAGAGCTTTCCTGAGGTCAATTTTGATCAAACAACCTTTTGTAATCTGCACATATTCAACATTTTCTATCTGAAGTTTCTTGAATTCATTAGTTAATTTGTTAGTTGGGCTTGCAAATTCATCATTTTACTATGTTTTCAGTTCAATTTATTTCTTGCCATCTTTTCAAAATGCAGATCTGAGGACTCCAAATGTACATGAGGAAACTCAGTCATTACTCTCCTAGTCTGATGCAGTTTGATCCACTCTGTAGCCGCCATTAAAGTTACGCTATGATGAAAAGTACACAGCGCGATATCTTGTTAATTGAATTTAACAGTAAGAATTGTTTGATAAACAGTGAAAATGAATTGACAATTCGATTGAGAAAGCTACTCTATCTAGGCAGACTGTTTGAAGATATTCTTTCACCATGGAGAATTTTAAATTTTTCTTATGTTAGTATATGTTTCTTTCATATTCTCTATTTATTTTGTTCAGGAATAGTCTTTTTCTTAAATGTAAAGGTCAACTTTTAATGCATACGAACATCACTTGCTCCCATTCTAGTTGTTGCTGCAAAAAAGGGAGATCTAATGATACAATAATGATACAAATATTAATATTAAACTCTAATCTTATCATGCCAAGTCATTCTACAACGATATACGAAACAGAGCAATTGGTTAAACTCCCCCCCCCCCCTCCCCCCGGCAAAAGGGAAAAAACCTAAGGAACACGAGGGAAGAAAAAATGGGTAATTGAGCTGATAAGAAACAATAATCTCCAATTAAACTTAGAGAGGGTTCAGCTTGTAACCCCATGCAACAACAACAAACCTAATGAAATTCTACTGGTGAGCTTTGAGGAGGGTAGTGTATATGCTGACCTTACTCATACCTTGAGAAAATAGACTATTTTTGGTAGACGCTCGACTCAAAGAAAGATAAAAAAAAAAGAAGCAGTTGCAACAACAGTAACACGAGTTATCAAGTTATAAGAATATAAAAGCAAAAGAGACAACAAAGTAATAGAAATCTACGACTAAGAAAATATCATTGGTATGTACAAGGAGAAAACTCGACTATCTAACCTTCTTTCCTAATCCTCGATCTACACACCCTCCTATGAAGGGTCATGTACTCGGTAAGCTGAAGCATTATCATGTCTTGCCTAATCACCTCTCCCCAATACTTCTTTGGCTTACCTCTACCTCTCATAAAACCCTCCAAGGCTAACCTCTTACACCTCCTCACTGGAGATTTGCGTTTCTCATCTTCACATGCTCGAACCATCTTAGCCTCGCTTCCCGCATCTTATCCTCCATAGGAGTCACACCCACCTTGTCTTGAATAGCTTCATTCTTAATCTTATCTATCCTGGTATGCCCGCACATCCATCTCAACATCCTCATCTTTGGTACCTTCATCTTCTAGATATGGGAGTTCTTAACTGGCCAACACTCTGCTCCATATTACATAGTCGGTCTAACCACCGCTCTATGGAAGTTTTGGTGGCACAATTTTATCACACTAAACACCTTTATCCACTCTGTTCCAATACGATGTGTGACATCCTCGTCAATCTTCCATTTTCTTGGATTAGTGACCTAAGATGCTTGAAACTTCCTCTCTTGGGGATGACTCGTATATCAAGCTTCATGTCCCCGTTCGCTTCATGGGTCACATCACTGAACTTGCACTCCAAATATTCTATTTGGTCCTGCTCAAATTGATACCTTTATATTCTAGAGTCTGCTTCTAAACCTCCAACCTCGCGTTAACACTAAATCGCTTCTCATCAATCAGTACAATATCATCTGCAAATAACATGCACTATGGTTGTTAAGATACAGATTGTTAATTAGTTGTTAATTGGTAGTTTATTAAGTTTGTTAGTTGCCAACTATATGGTAGTTATATGCCAGCTGTATGGTAGTTAGTTTCTAGATGTAGTAGTTGTATTATTTTCCTTATTAGTTTGTATATAACTCTCTAATTGAAGAGTAATAGATTGAGATTCTTTTTCCCATTTCTTTCTTCTTCCTCTCTTCATTTCTTCTCTCTCACACTACTGCTACTTCCAGAAGCTTCCATTAAATCTCCATTGGAGCTTAGCTCAAGCTCATTCCCAGCTGGCTATCCAAAATTGATATGGTATCAGAGCTAATGGGAACTTCATCTCCGATAATTGTGTTCCTGTTCTAGATCGATCAATTCGCTGGTTTCACTCGATACATGAAAACCTAAATTCGAGTCATTTTTGGGATTTGTCTTCACAGTTCACCTTTTTTTTTCGACTGCAAATCTCAATTGCAAATTACTAGTTTTTGTTCTTCGATACTTCAGCTCAATCAATTCAGTCTTGGCAATTCTAGATGAGAATGAACGTTCTAGTGATTTACTCATTTCTACGTGCGTCCCTCGTATAATCCCGGTGCAATGTTAGTATCAGTTCCTTTTAATGGCGTTGGCTACAGATCATGGAGGAGGAGTGTGTTGCGTGCCCTTTCTGTGAAAAAAAGTAGGTTTCATCAATGGGGAATGTGAGAGACCAGATCCAGATTCTCAAAAGCTTGACTGTGGGAGAGATGTGACGATATGGTAACATCGTGGATTTTGAACTCATTATCTAAGGAAATTGCAAATAGCGTCGAATATGTAAATGATGCAACAAAATTGTGGAATGAATTAGAAGACCAATATGACCAGACCAATGGTGCAAAGCTATATCAGTTTCAGAAGGAGATCAATGATCGTTCCCAAGGATCCCTTGATATTACATGGTATTACACTAAGATGAAGAAGCTGTGGGAAGAACTGAGCAACCTAAGTGCTAAAAATCAATGCACTTGTCATTGCACCTGTGGAGCAAATGAGAGTATGCACAAGGCAGAACAGGATAGGCGACTAACACATTTTCTTATGGGGCTTAATGAGGTCTACACTGTGGTGCGAGGCAGCATTTTAATGATGAATCCATTGCCTTTAATGGCACAGGCTTTTTCCTTGTTAGTCCAAGATGAGAAACAGAGGGAAATTAGACCTAGTAATCAGCTTGCCTTAGCATCAACTTCCTTGAATGTGAACACCTTAAAGCAGAACAATTACAGGACCAATTACTCCCCTAGCAACAACTGTAATGATGCAAACAAGTCAAGTCCAATGTGTGAGTATTGTAAGAAACCGGGACACACCAAGGATAAATGCTACAGTACATGAATACCCTCAGGGTTATGGTCAAAATTTCAAGGGAAACAATAACTTTAGCCAACACAATTCGAATTAGAGTTTCAAGCCCAACAATGGTTTTAACAGGGTGAACAGGACAATTGCAAATGTACATGGACCTCAGGTGAATATGGCATCACATGATGAATCTGATGCAACAAAAGGATAACAAAAGTGTTAGCTTGACTCAGGAGCAATATGGGTAGATCATGAGCCTGCTACAACACTTCTAGATAGGAAATGGAGGAGAGAGCACCAACAATGTGAATTTAGCCTGTGTAACTACCAATTTTGCAGGTATTGTTGCATGTACATGTTCTATTGATTTTAGTAAACTGTCATGTAATTGTTTCAAAAATAGAGCTAACTCATGTATATTAGATTCCGGAGCTTCAAATCACATGACCTTCAACAAATCCTTATTGACCTAAATTATAACCCTGCCATACCCTCTTCATGTCATTCTCCCAAATGGATATAAAGTAAGGGTAACACGAATTGGCAGTGTGACACTTATACCTGAAATCATCCTGGAAAAAAATGTTGTTTATACCTTCATTCAAATACTACTTGATTTCTGTTCACTCTCTAACAAAACCTGAACGTCTAGTTGCTTTCTCTAACAATTCATGTGTGCGTCAAGGCCCCTTCAATGAAGAGGCCTCTGGTGATTGGTAAAGCCATGAATGGCATATACTTCCTATGTCAAAAATGCCTGCAGAACAAACAGTGTCCTACAGTGAATGTTCCTCTTTTGTCAGGTTGTTGTTGTGCTTGCAACACACAGTGTCACCTTCACAACAATGTAGATAAGTCATTAGTCATGAATAAGTGTGTTCCTCTTTCAATTGTAAATAGTTCATATACAACCAATAAAGAACAGTCTTTTACTCTGAGTTCTTATGAACCTATTAGAAATAATGTGAATGTTCTATGGCATAACAGACTTGGCCATGTGCCTTTTGTCAAAATGAGAAACATTACCTCAATACCTACCAGTTTTTCATCCAAACAGCCTTTCCTTTGTTCTATTTGCCCCATGGCTAGACAAGAAAGACTTCCCTTTCCCCAAAAGACCAGCATTACCACCAAAACATTTGAACTATTGCATGTTGACCTGTGGGGACCTTACCATGTTACAACACATGATAACTATAGGTACTTCATTACCATAGTGGATGACTACAGTAGATCCACCTGGACTTACCTTCTATCATGTAAAAGCAATGCCCTTCAAACTATTAAAGCCTTTGTGGCCTTGATAGAAAACCAATTCAACACTAGAATCAAAGCCATTAGATCAGACAATTGCCTGGAGTTCACCAATACAGAAGCCAGTCTCTTTTTCCAATCCAAGGGTATAATACACCAAAGAACATGTCCTTATACACCCCAGCAAAATGGAATAGTATAAAGGAAACATAAATACCTACTAGAGACTGCTAGGGCCCTTCTGTTCCAATCAAAGTTTCCAACTAGGTACTGGGGTGAGTGTATTTTTTGTGCAACCTACATCATAAATAGACTCCTTTCTAGCATCCTAAACAACAAATGTCCTTATGAGCTTCTATACAAAAGGAAGCCTAAGTATTCACAGATGAGAAGTTTTGGATATTGTGCTACCCTACGGTCCCTAAACCTCGCAGAGACAAGTGTGAACCAAGAACCACCCCTCATGTTTTTGTTGGTTATCCCTTCAACACAAAAGGTTACAAGGTGTTGAGTTTGGCCACCAGAAGAATACATATTTCCAGATATGTCACCTTCAATGAGTCTGTTTTTCCCTTTGCCATGCAAAATGACACTGCATCTTTCCATTAGTCCTCAAGTCTATCTTTTTTATTGATCATTTGGAAGTTGAGCCAGAACAACACAGTGCTCAACACAGGTCAAGTGTCACACAGCCTGCAATGCCCTCAGATCATTCCTCTCCTATCACAGCCTCACATAACCACTTTCCTATATACAACAGCTCCCCATCAGTGGATCACTATTTCCCTACAGAAGGTGATTCTACTCCCAGCAGTCCTCCACCACCTACACTACATGCTGGTCCTAGAAAGTCCCTTAGAGAACATAAAAGACCTGCACACTTGAAAGACTACATTCATTCCATTCCAAACCTAAAGCCAAAGGATGTTGCCCTTACATTCCGTACTAACTCTTTTTCACTTAATGCATTATTCTCAGATCACACTTCCATATCTACTGAACCACTAACCCATGATAGTCAAGCTCTTGTGAGAAACATTTGTTA